TAAAATGACTCTCTCTAGAAGGGACTGCTTGAGATCCTCCTGTAGCCAGAGGGTCAATCTAGAAAAGACTTTGTCTAGAATTCAGTCCTAACGTTTGGGCATGGCTCTTGGAGTCCATTGCTCTGCTAAAGGGCAGTTCTGGAGGCCCACCCTGTCCCATTCTCCCTGGGACCTCCCTCCAGATGTGCCCGGGAGTTTCTAGAACCTCTTGCTGGAGAACAGCACTACTCAAAGGGCCAGTCCATAATTAAATGAGAGAGTGGTGCCCGAATGGAAAGCGACAGGCTGGTTCCTTCCTTGAGAAAGTCGTGCTGTAAAAAAAACGACCTGCTGCTAAACAGGATGGTCTACATTCTAAAGCAGAGGTTCTCAACCCCGGGGCAGGGGTGGGTGGTTTTGCCCCCAGGTGACATTGATGACATCTGGAGACAGTTTGGTTGTTGCGACCTGATGGCTGCCATTGGCATCTGCTGGCTCAAAGCCAGGGGCGCTGCTCAGCATCCTATGGTGCCCAGGATGGTCCGCACTGCAGAGATGAGCTGGCCCATATATCACTACTGCTGAGGTGGAGAAACCGTCTTCGAGAGCAAGTCCCTTGTCTCATGCATGGACAGGTCACAGACTTCTCCTTGAAAAGCATCATTCTAGGGGTGCCTGGGTGGCTCAGGAGGTGAAGCATCTGCCTTGGGCTCAGGTCATGATCTCAGGGTCCTGGGATTGAGTCCCGCATCGGGCTCCCTGCTCGGCGGGGAGTCTGCTTCTCCCTCTGCCACTCCCCACCCCTCGTTCTCTCTCTCTCTCAAATAAATAAAATGTTTTTTTTTTAAAGCACCATTCTAGAACTCACTTGGAAAAACATTCTCTAAAATCATAGCCTAAAAGCAGTACTTTAAAAGCTCCTAGCCAGGTTACAAAATAGGTCCAGACACCTCCTCATCCTATCCCCATCTTTCCAAACTCCCCTGCCCCCATCCCTGGATTGACTCTAACAATCTAGAAACTACCTACCCATTCCTGACACAGTGCCAGAAGCCCCCTGTCATGTCACCAGAGGCATCTAGAACCTTCCATCCTGTCCCATTCCCCTCACCCCCCCACGCTCCCATCCTCCACTGTGTTCACTGGGCATCCAGAGAACCCGCTTCTGGAAGAGCTCCTCACCACCACCCCACCTGCCCCCTGGACCCCAGGTGGCCCTCACCGAAGGCTCTCTTGGGCTGCACCAGGCGCAGGGTGAAGGGCTGGGACTTGGGCAGCTCCCGGAGCATCTTGGCTACCTCGTAGTGGCGGCAGCCCACGATGGAGTGGTCGTTGATGGCCTCAATGCTGTCGCCCACGCACACAGCCTGGATCCGGTTGATGATGCTGCCCTCCTTGATCCTCTGCAGGGACCCAGAGTCACTCACGAGGCCACCCCAGCCACCCTCCTCGGCTTCCCAGAGCCCAGGTTAACCAGACAGGGGCAGTGGCTCATCCCAGGTCCCCGAGCACGCAGGTAGTCACCCGCCCTCCGGGGGCACCTTGATGAAGGCGTAGCCAGCCCCATTGTCCGTGATGGTCAGTCCCAGGGCATCTTCGGTCTTAGTGACCTCCACCTCCTTGGTCTCGCCGCGCACGTGAGCAAAGATAAAGTCCTCCAATCCTATCTGGCCGCCCAGGAGTTTCTGCATGTCCACTTTGTGGCTGTTTAGGGTACAGAATAAGATCTGTCCCAAGGGGAGGGGGAGCGCAGAATTAATGACAGCGCTCATCACCCTCTGTCTGTGCAGAACAACCAGGGTGATGGGTTCAGGAGCCTGAGAGGGAAACCGAGGCACAAGGAGGCATGAAACTGGCCTGGTTACCCAGCCACCAGGATCCCAGTCCACCAGAAAACGCGGGGCATGGGACCCTCAGAATGGGGTGGGGTACAAGAAGGAGTCTGAGACCCTCAGGATGGGGAGCAGGGAGCTGTGGGCACGAAGAGACCCCTCCCTCACCCCTAAGACTTTCAGTTTTAACCCGTTGGTGCCCTGACATCCCAGACCAACTTGTTCAGTCGATTCTGAATCTGCTGGCGCCCCCTGGGGGCTACGAGTC